ACAAACACAGCTTTGGTTTCTAATTCTGCCATGCAGTCCCCTGCTTTCCTCCACCTAAAACTGGCAAGTAACATCTCCATGAGTGTTTGTGGCCTCACTTTTTCTGGCTTTGTGATGGTTGTGTCTGCCTGAGGCTGGTGAGACTGTATGACTGTATCATCTCTCTCTCTTTTCTGTTCCTCTGTCACAGGTTAGTTGGCTGTCCATACTCTGATGTGAACCTCAACAGAGAGAACTCCTTACAGGACCGGCTGAGTGGGGAGAGACCTTCCCCTGGGAACAGCATGCAGAAAGCCAAAAGGCTGGAGACTCCTGCCCCATTTCTGTTGGGAGCAGGGGAGTCTTCTCAGGAGGACTCTCCACAATCCAGGTGAGCTGAACACTGTTCTCATGCAGGTACTGAGGAGCAGAACCATTTTACAAGGCTGAAAACCACCAGAATTGGCAGACAAGCAGCAGAGCATTGAGTTCATCTGTCTGTAGTATTGACCTGTGCCCCAGACACTCTTAACACAGAGCAATGCACTTTTATACCCTCGTATGCCTTAATAGGTTTCTTGATTCCTTAATCCTGCTGCTCTGGTCACATTCCAACAAAGGAAATTGCATTCTGTCTCCATAAATTTTTTTTCCTTGCTGTTTCAATTTAAAATATGTTCTTTTCCTTCGTTTCCTGTCCTAAAACTGTCAAGCCAAGGTTATTTTGCACTATTAAAGTGTAACTGCAATCCACTCTGGAGTCAGCTCCGTCGGGGGGAGGGCTCTGTGTGTAGCACTTGGCAAACAACTCGAGCTCCTTCAGATGGTTTGTTTTCTTACATGAAAGTCTTGGAATTGAGTAGCATTGAAGCAAACTAGCTCTTGGAGTGCAGGAGGCAGTTAAATATGTCATGGGACAGACCAGGACATGAAGGATTTTATTGAGATCATCTTTAGTCTGCACAAATCCAATTTCACCAGGGAAAACTCCAGCAATACTTTTGGTCATTGTTGTATATGATGGCTTATATATATTTTAAAGTTGTTTAGGTTGATAGCATTTTCATGGCTCTATTTGGCCAGAAGAAAAGAAGGAATGAATGTTTCTCTCCCCATATTGACCTTCATGGCCAAAGTTTGCCTCCTCCCATGGCAGAACTGTGGAGGAATCTTCATTTCCTAATTTTCACACCAGACTCTGTTACCATAAAGCTCTCTCAGGAGATTTGGGATTCTCACAGAACAAACAGCATTCTAGAATTGTAATATGTCTCTATTCATCTAAGTATTTCATTTCCTGATAGTGGGAGGTCTGAATTCAGCATGCAGCTCTGCTAACACCCTGCTGCCTGTCCTTCCTTGGCCAGCTGCAGCTCAGTTTGTGCATCAAACTTGGTCTTGGAGACTCTTCAGTGTTATGCAGAGGTATCAGGATTCAGAAATCTTAACTCTCTTGATTTCACCATTGCACAGTGGTTTCCTGTAGCTGCTGGGCTTAGAGCCTGAGTCCACAGAGGCTGATTTATTTCACTTAATCTCTCTCAATCCATGCCGAGGAGTAACAAAGCACTTTGTACTTGTAGGGGGGAAGAGGAAGGTTCTACCACTAGGTGGTAGTTGTTGCTCTCACTTGCAAAGAGCAGCCAGCTTTGCTGTCCTGTGGGAGAAAGGAGCAGAGGTTGGCAGCTTGGCTATTGTCATTTGTCTGTCTTTCCAGAAAATCTGCCCCAGACAGTGAAAAGTCGTGTCAAAGCAGCGTTCACACCCCGTCAGAGCAGTCTGAGAGCAATCAAGAGAGAGACTGGGTAGAGGAGGATTCCTCTGCAGACATCAAAGTCACACCAAAAAAGTAAATCAGATTTTTGTCATGTATTTTCATGCATTAACACTTCTGCTTCTTGCTGCTGCTGCTATGTTTGAAATAAAGATGTAAATCATAACTCAGAACAGCCCAATGTGATCATAGATTTGCAGCAGAGGGTTCTAGAGTGAAATGATAAATCTCTTCCCTGCCTCCTGGTATTTTGGACCCTCTCCTTCCTGCAGTAAACTCAAATCTGAGTTCTAGCCATGGATTTAACCCATCCCTTTGCTCAGAGAGAGGTCAGGGATGGAACAGTGTTATTGCTTTTTAAGAGGGAAAAGTTTTTAGTTTCTCTAAATCCCATTAATCTCTGCATAGAGAAGAAATGAAATCCATTTGTGTGTCTTCTGAAATGTTGTATAATTGCTGCTTTCAGGCTTGGGTGCTCACATGCCTTTATCAAGTTCCAGCTGGTGAAACGGGAAAGCAATGGGAAAGGTTGGTTCAATGTGATTCCTTTTTCTCTGTGTGTGCATAATGTGCAATAATCCCACAGTCACGGGGAGCATTCACAGCTTCACAGCTTTTCTGCCTTTGATCCCACAGTCAAGAGAAAGCACACGCTGGAGGTGATGGCAGTGGTAATTTTTCTTCCTTTAAAACAAGGAGAAAGGGTAAAATTACTTAGAAGTGAAAGGTTTAATACTGTGTAGAGTGAAGCCTTGTATTTATTAACTGAGAAGACAAGTTTGCACCAGCTCTTGTACCACTGCAGACTCCTCTGTAGTGGCATTCCCAAACAGCCTGTGACCTGTGTCAGGCTGTGACAGAGCCAGCACAAGAGTCAAGGGAGATTTTCTCAAAGCCTGGCAGATAGTTCAAGTTCTTTAGACCTCCCTGAGGACTCCAAAATACACTCTGAATCATTCCAGGACTTTTTTAAGGTTCTCCTAATGATGAGAAAGAAAACGAAAAGTTAAATGGAAAAACAATGCTTCTGTTTCTTTTTCCTGGTACATGACAGGTTAAGCTTTCAGAGAAGCTTTCTGCTATCACTTTAGCAAACCATATGCTTAACTTTCAGATTTACTATAAAAAGCCATTTCAGAGAACTGAGCTGACCAGGCTTTTAGGAGGATTTAACATGGTAATAAGTCTCCAATCAAAAATAGCTAAGCAGGCACAAACTGGGACAGGTGCCTAGCTTTTTTTTTTTTCTTCTTTTTTAATACTCATTTTTTGCCTAGTGCTGAGTTCTGCAGTCAGAGCTGAGAGGTCTGCCAGCTCCAAGCTGCAGTTGCAGCTGGCAGGGAAAGCTGTCCCCTCTCCCTCCGTGCTCACCTTACAGGCAATGATGGAAACCAGAGGAGGGAAACTCTGCAATCATCCACTGACCTGTAATTCACTGTTACCCACAGCTTCTAGCCCAGCTATGTTTAAACTCTTAGATCACTGCTTCTTTCTCAGAGGGAAAATCATGTGTTTAGGTCGTGGTTTGGGTGCTTAGCACGAGGATCTGGGCTAAGTGGAGGAAAGGAGTTGGTCTGAGCTGGAAGCAGTGCCCACTCAGCAGTGGGTGAAACCTTGGGCACGAGTGGGACCTCCTGCAGCAGGAGGGTGGGGGCAAGGTCATCTGCTGCCCCTGCCACCAGGGCAGGCAGGGGAGGAGTGGGGGACAGCCCTCCCTGGAGGTCTGTGCCCTGATGTCACCAGGAGCTCCTGAACTGAGCAGTTCTTACTCAGCCTTTACTTGTCTAAATCCTCCCTTGGTCTCAGGGTGAGAAATGTGATGTATTTGATGCTGTCCCATGTCCTTCAGGGAGGTGGAGATGAGGTGAGGTGTCCATCCCTTAGGACAGGCTTTCCCTCCAGTGCTGCTTTCCCTTTGGCTGGCAGGGAGCTGGGAAGGAGCTGGCAAACCATGGAAATGTGCTTTTTCTTCATACATCTATTTTCCTTTGGGCTTTCCTCGCAGTGACTGGCACACCCCACAGATCTTACACCCCAACCCACTGACAGCCGCCGAGCAGAGGCGAGCGGCAGCCAGAGGGAAGCAGCATCCATCCCTCCAGAGCCTTCCCAAAGGAGGGAGAAATGGGAATGCTGTGTGATTGCCACGGGATGGCGCCGGGCAGCCTGCAGAGCCAGCAGGGCTGGGGGCTCGGGGGCAGCACACCGTGACCGCTGGAAAGCAGAGCAATGTTTCCCAGCTTTTTCCCATCCTCTGCCTCTCTCTTCCTGTTGTATAACCAGGCACGTCCCTGTAGGACCATGACTCTGCACTACTCCGGTGATCTCATTAGGGAGGGGTGATTTCCTCCTCGGGTTTTTTTTGCTTTGGTTCTTTAAAGCTTCCATCACTTGACAGATGAGGAGGGAGTTGATGTCTGGAGGTAACGTGCAGCACTCCTGGGCTGGGAGTCTCTAGGCCCTGGGCTGGCAGGCAGGGAGCTGCTCACAGCCTGGCTACAGCTGGAGCTGGAGCTGTGCCATTAGTTTCCAGCCGAAGATGCTGTTACCAGAACTCCTCCACCTTGTCAATAAAACGCTGCAAACATCTTCTCTGTTAGCAGCATGACATCATTTTCCAGGGAAGAAGCTAACGAGAAAGCCTCTAGCCTGGCAATCTTATCTTTTTTTTTTTTTCCTTCTTTCTCCTGCTCAGGAGGGTGGGAAGAAAGCCCTGAAAGCTCAGAGTGCCACGCAGTAGCCCTGCCTGGCTGTCTGCTCACCCTGCCCTGCTTTCCTCTCCAGACTGTGACCCTTCCTCCTGCCTTGTTGTAATTGTTCCTACTTGAAGTCTGGCTCTGACTTGTCTCCTTTCCTTTTCCAGGCCCTGATTTGGATCTCCAGCAGGCCCTCCACCAGTCCATCTTCATGCCTTCCCTGGCCTCTAACCCGACCCACCGCCTCCATCTCTTCTGGGAGCAGCACTGCAGGCTCTTGCCAGAGGTCTCAGGCCTCACGGCCAAACACGTGGCCAAATGGAGTGTGGAAGAGGTGAGTTACCTGTTCCCTGTTCCTCTCCTGGGGTGCAGGACTGCCAGAGCCCTCCTCCTCTGCAGTGCTAATTGGAAGACATCTCTATTTTTTTCCCTTTCGTAGGCAATGCTCTTCTGTTTGCTGTGCATATGCCACAGCTGACTCAGCTGGAAGTTAGACCCAAGTCCCTTTATCAGGGAAGGATCCCTGTTAACCCTCTGGTGTCCACAGCTTATTGCCCTCAATAGCATTCCCTTCCTTCCTCCCTTTGGTGATTTACCCCTTGGTCTCTCAGCCCTCAGGCCTGAGGGATGATTCTGACAGCAGATTCCCTTTCTCTCTGATCTCCCTCCCCCTCTCCTGCGACTTTGCTGCTGATTCACTTTTCCATTGCAGAGAATTCCAGACTGCACTGTGCATGCCCACTCCTCCTGCATCTCCCTCCCTGCCTGCTTCCCCTGGAACAAAACTGCCCACAGCCTGACCTGATTTCTGGCAGAGGTAGCTGTGCAGCTGGGGATGTTGTCTCTGCAGATCTGGAGATGTCTCCTGTAATTAGGTGGTGTGTGAAAAAGCCAGAGTGTTGTGTGTGCTGAGTAGTTGGTTTTTGCCTCGATGCCTTGGGCATAAATAACATTTGTCTCTCCACTTGGTGACAATTTGGGTCCTGGTGCTTAGTCGCAGGGCACTGAAGTCAGGAGGCATGTGCTGTAGTGTTGTGCTTGCAGGGCTTGCAAAGCAGAGAAAAGGTGCTGCTGTTCATGATGCAGAGAAAATCTTCAGAGGCTTTGAGAAAGTGCATTTTCCCTAAGTGCCTCTTAGATCAGATAAATCCAATCTTGACATTACTCTTCGTCCTGGAGGACTGTTAGGAGTCTGGTGGGATTGCAGTGATATGGGAGATGGGAACCACAGCAGTTGGGAAGGGGATAGAGCAATTAGTGTTGCTGTTGTAAAACTTGGTCCTTTTTTTTTTTTTTTTTTTTAATTGTGGCATTGAAAACATGTTTGAATCAACTCCATAGCAAGGAGGGAAAAAAACATCTCTCTGAAAGATGTGCTGTTCCTGTCCTTTTGATAAACCTTCCAATGATTTGTCCAAAAGGTCTTTTAGCAAATCAATAAAGGCAGAAGCAGTTAATCCTCTGACATGATAATCAAAATCTCTTTCTTTTGGATAAAACAGGGAGGTTGGTTCATGGAACTACAGTGTCAGGATCGGAGCCAAATAAAATTTGTCCTTTGCAGTTGACCTTTAAAGCAACTGCTGGGTAAATTTATCTGGGATATTAGTTTGATAACAGATGAGCACAGGCAGGGACCACAGGACATGGATGCAGAGCACAGGATACTCTGAACTCTGTGCTGCAGCCTGAGACTATTGAGGAAGTTTTGTCTGCCAGTAGCAGCACATTAAGGAGCTCAGTTGCAGCACCACAATGGACTGGCTGAAGTCATTACAGGTTTTGTCTTGAATTTCAGTAAAGTGGATCTGTTTTTGCAAATTATGTTCATCACAGATTCCCAGAGGAGTCAATTTGGGCTCTGTCTGAGCACTTGCAGGATCAGCATGTGCAATCCAGTGTCGCCGCAGGTCTGGGAGATGAAAGCAGCAGGACTTGCTGTGTTTTAGGGAGTCCAAAGTACATTTGGTCTGTTGGCATTTGGGCTCCTAACATCTTCCTACAGGGCAAACATTTGCCTTTGGGTTGTGCTTTGAACTCAGCTGCACAAAGGAGCCCATTCTGCTGATCTGAAACGAGCAATGGGGGCGTAAAATTCTCCTTTGGTTTCAGGCTGAAGAACTGTTTTTATTTTATAAAACCCACATTAAGGGAAAAAACGTCGCTTTAATTCTCTGTTGGTTGAGAACAGCTGAAATGGAAGAGCAGCAGCAGCAGCATTTAGGGGCCCTCAAGCTAAGAAACTCTTGGTAACACTGAGCAGTCAACAAGAGGAGTTACTTTAATGCAGCTTTGGTATTTATTGAAAGCTTCCTGTCATGTTTTCAGGGCTCAGCCTATTGACTCACAGAAGAACATTAAGATGTGCCAGAGCTGTATTGTTCATTAGTTAATCCTGCATCAGTTGCTAATACCTTGTGGGGAGACTGTCCTTGAGTCAACTGCTGGTGGGTGTGTAAGTCCCAGACAACCCCAGCTCCTGTCTGCATGGTCTCAGGACAGGGTGGCAGTCCGGCAGGAGGGGCAGTGTGAGGCTGCCTGACAGCTCTGCCAACAAGGGGCATCCCCACTGTGCTGATTGCAGTGTGTCACCCACGTCTGGGATGGCATCAGCACCTTCCACACACGTCACCTGGAGTTTCTGAGGTGTTTTCAGGATTGCACAAAACTCTTTTTCAAACCATGGAAGTGGAAGAACTTCCAGCAGTCAGCTCTGTGAGCACTGGGGTGGTTCCAGCAGGAAGGACTGGCAGACATTCACCTCCTCAAAGGAAAAGTCTTTATCCCACTGTGTTCCCAACCTGTCCAACGCCTCTCCCATCCTCACCTTGAGGCCCTCCAGCCTCACCCTTTCCCGTGGTTCAGGGTTTTCCTGCCACCGTTGTGGGGCTGTGTTGGTTTCCTGTGGTATCAATGTTTTCCTCTCATGCTTCCAAGCCTCCCTCATCCCTCAGCTCCACATCATGGTTTGGGGACTCTCCTCTCCAGCAGTGACAGGCCAGGCAGGTGACTGCAGCTCAGTGGAACCCAATGTCTAGCTCATGTCCTGAGGACCTTTTCTCTTGTTTTCTCCTCTTGCATCCTCCCCTCTCTTTTCTCCATTCTTGGCAAACCCCAGGGCTCCTGTTTGTTTCAAAGGCCTCTCCTGTGGCACAGAGTGCTCAAAGTGTCCCTACAAATGACTTTGGGGACAGATCAAAGGTCTGACACTCTGTGTCCATGACAGTAGCCAGCAGCAGTGGTGCAGGGAAGGACACAGGAGCAAGGCAAGCTCAGGTCATTCCCCGGAGATGTCTGTCTCAGACACTAAAGAGCACTCAGCGTCTTGCCCCAAGGGATCCAACTGTCTCTTAGATTCTGGAAGGAACCAGACCCTGCAGAAGGATTTTCATTTGTGTTTTAATTGTAAGGGGTGAGGGGATTTAAAAGGCAAGTAGTGTTTTGTTATTGGTTCATAACAGGAGTTTGCACTCTTACTGGAGAAAATGTGGCGTTGCTGCCCGATGGAGATGTGGATTTTAGGGGTTCTCTTTAAAATGGAGCAGAAGGGAAGGGGAGGGATGCTTTGCTTTCAGGTTACATAACAGAAACCACGGGAGCTGGAGCTGCTCACCAAAAATCAGCTCCTACCAGGCTACTGGAGGGCACTGACAGCCCCATTGCTGCGTGGTCGGAACTGGGGGAGGCAATGACTCCAAGCCTAGTGGTGGGATCAGCTGGAGATGCAGTGACATGATTCAGGAGAGACTGACAAGTCTGAGCTGAAGGGCTGCTTGTGTTTGACAGTGACCCCTCCTAACTGCTTGTTTGTGCTCATGGAAGAAATGTCACATCTGTAGCAACTCACATGAATATGCCTTATGAAACAGAGCTGTTCCTGCAAGGGAGCATCCAATTAGCAGGAGATGTTTGATCTGATTATGCCTCAATATACAAATCTTCTATGAGCCACTGAAGCTACAGCTGGAGAAGACAATACACATTAAATCATCCTTGACTGCACTCAGGACTGCTCCTTGCACTCCTTAGTGTTATATAATGTCACCCAAGGGCTCCTTGCATGTCTCTGGGGAGATTATTCCAAATGTTAACAAATTCCTTGCTTAGAAAGGTTTTCCCTAATGTGAAATGTAAAATTAACTTCTACTTGTTTAATCCTCTTGGTACCATAGATCCTGTGCACCCACCACAGATTAAATAAACCCAAAACTCCTTCCCAGCTCTTCTGCCTTCAGATGCTGGTAAACCAGCAGTGCTCATTCAGTTGGTTTATCTTGTCTCTTCCAGGCATGTCAGCATGGGAAACTGTCTAAATCCCTTTTACTTCTTAATTTCACTTTCCAGAGAGTGAAGTTGGGGATGGGTTTAAGGCAGAGTAGCCATATATAGCTTTTAATCTGGGAAAATAATGCTGATTTTGTGAGGATCTTTTAGGGGAATGCATTTTGACAAAGAGAGAAATGGTCAAATGGCTGTAGGGGGAAAGCAGAATATGCAGAGGAGTTGCAGCAGCAACCCAGAAATGTTTTTCATCTATATCCTTCATCAGTGGGTTTAGGTATTAAAGTTTGAAAACTGGCAAATGGAGTTCTGTGTGGAAACAGGAGCTTTTTGCTTGATGCTATCCCATTTTAACTGTTCCTGTTTGTCCTCTCTCAAATGTAATTGCAGGTGGTAAGCTTTATCCAGCGTTTGCCTGGGTGCAAAGAACAAGCATCTGTGTTCAGGGAAGAGGTAAGTAGGTGTGCCCAGAGCCTGAGGTGGTTTGGTGTCCCTTTCCAGTGGAGTTACAGTGCAGAGAGCGCAGACATGCTCAGCCCTGTCATTCCAGAGCCTGTGGCATTTAGGAGGCAGCTTCAGCACAGAGCTGAATTCCAGCATGGCTAATTGCATTCTGCTGCTTTAAATTTCCCCTGCAGTTCCAATCACTGAGCTTATGCTTAGCATCCTGTCTTGGACCACTGTGCCGTGGGTTTGGCACGGCTGTAAAGATGTCCTGTTGGAATGGTGTGTGAGGATCTCATCTGCTGCCTCTAACGAGGACACTGCCTGCTTCTCCTGGGGAGCCTGGCAGGAGTAGGGTTTCCCAGAGTCACTGGCTTCCCCCATGGGCTGAGGTGAGAGCAGGAGGGGAATCTTTCCTTGAGCAAGCAGAGGTTGGGAAGTCAGAGCATCTCCTGTGTGCAGTGTGTCCTGTTGTCACTGCCACGGGCTGGGCTGGACCCATTCCCCATTCCTGGTGTGTTCACCACAACTTCTGAGGCATCTCTGCAGGCACAGGATGTGGCTGTCCTGATTTTTGGCACAGCTCTTTAGGTGGATCACAGACAGGGTCTGTCGAGTGCTTCAGCTTCCGCTTACATTGCAGGTGTTGCTCAGAGGTTCTTTATGAGCCCCTAATTAATTGGCACAGATGTACCATGTCCTGAGCTCATGCCACAGCGAGGACAGCAGGGCCAGGGGGGATTCTGCCCCACTGCTCTGCTCAGGTGAGACCCCACCTGAAGTGCTGCCTCCAGCTCTGGGACCCCCAGCATCAGAAGGAGCTGTTGGAGTGAGTCCAGAGGAGACCACAGAGATACTCTGAGGGCTGGAGCAGCTCTACCATAGAGCCAGGCTGGGAGAGCTGGGGGTGTTCAGCCTGGAGAGGAGAGGGGCTGAAAGAGAGCTGGAAAGAGACTTGGGACAAGGGCATGGAGGGAGAATGGGGAATGGCTTCCCACTGACACAGGGCAGGGATAGATGGATACTGGGGGGAAATTCTTCCCTGTGAGGGTGCTGAGGCACTGGCACAGACAGAAGCTGTGGCTGCTCCATCTCTGGGAGTGTTCCAGGCCAGGTTGGATGGGGCTTGGAGCAACCTGGGCCAGTGGAAAGTGTCCCTGTTCATGGCAGGGGGTGGAACAAAATGATTTTTAAGGTCCCTTCAACACAAACCATTCCATGGTTTTGTGATTCCACCCTCACAGCTCCTGCTGGGGCTGTGAGAACTGGAGGGAAGGGCTGTGCCTGCTCAGCTCTGCACATGGCAGTGACTGGAAAGGGCAGGTTTGTGATAGATGACTGCTCCCAGAGCTGCCTTTCAGGGTGAATCAGGCTGCAGTGCACTTGGTGGATTTATCTCTCTGTGTTTTGTTTTCTCTTATTTCAAAAAACATGCACAGACACAAACCAGAGAGCAAAAAGCACTGACCACAATGTGACAGTGTAGG